GAATCAGAGCACAAAATTCACCTTATGACACTTTTCAAAAGACTCGATCACTATGGTCTATGCATCAATGTTGAAAAATGTATTTTTGGCGTCAAGTCTTTGGAATTTCTAGGCCATGAAGTCAGTGTCAGCGGTCTAAAACCACTCCAAGCAAAGGTTGAGTCAATAGTAGATTTTCCTGTCCCTACTTCAGCATCTGCATTAAGGAGATTTTTAGGCATGGTCAACTTTTAAAACCGTTTCATTCCTCACTGTGCCCAACTCCAAAACCATTGAATCAGATATTAAATGGTCACAAGAAGAACAGTTCTAAACCTTTAGCTTGGTGTGAGGAGGCTTCAAAAAGTTTTGATAATTTAAAAAACGCCTTATGCAAAGCAACAATGTTGGCTCATCCTGATCCAAATGCCAATTTGACATCAACAATGGATGCCTCTGATACTTCAATCGGCGCAGTCCTTCATCAAGAGAGGCCATCAGAAGTTGCGAGGGTTTTTGGTCCCCAAGTTCCATACCTGTCAGAAGGGTTTGTATTTTTTTTGTGTCACTTTCATCACTACATTTATTCGAACGAGTTCGCGAACCAGCATGATCGGACTATGGGAACAGGGGTTTATGGGGGATTTTATGGGGTAAAAATGGGTTTTTCTAATTTTTCACCCTGAAAACATAAAATTTTGCAATTTCTTTCTAAACCATTTTGTAGAGCTCAAAAAAAACAAATAATTTAGCATATTGAAGCATTGTTGCATGCCAGACGGTTACGGAAAAATCGCAAAATAATGTAAATTTAAAATTACCATGTAATTCTTATGGAGAATAAATACAGTGTTGTAGCTTGCTTGTGTATGGACATATATTAATGACATTTTGAATTTTTGTTTACTTCATACTGAGCTATTAATATTTTAATAAAAACCCCCTATTTTCTTCCCTGTAGTAGCAAACCTAAGTACTCATTAATATTAATGATGTTTAAATAGGAAATAAATCTGACAATTTTAAGGGAATAATTTAGTGGAATTCCAGCTGTGTATATGGAAATTCGCTTAGTCTGCAGGTTTGCTGCGGCGGGGGTATTTTTTCATTGGGAAAGAGTTTTTGAACAAGTGGGTAATTTTTGATAAAAATCTCCAAACTTTGTTTGCAAATCTGCTGCATTATATATTTCATCCCAAGTTTCCTTAGATAGATGATACGAGAACGATTCTATATTTGAGTTTGAAAAAAGTCTCTCATATTTATATAGGGCTTTTGGGGTTTGAATGATGTTATTAAAATGAAAAGGTGCAGTTTGGGCACTGTGGTCAGAGAGTCCTGATATGATAACTGAGCTATCAACCAATCTCTTATTATCAGTAAACACATGATCAATGAGACTGCGAGATCCATGTGCTTCTCTAGTATAAGACGTTATAATATTTTGCAAGTCAAAGGATGCCATTTAGGTAATGAGTTTTTGCGCCGTAACTGTATCACAAGCCAAATTAATATTGAGGTCTCCCAAGACAACAACTGTACTGTGTCGGTTAGCATATTTATTCAGACATTCTGTTATTCTGTATAAGAAATCTTAATCGAGTTTTTCCAACTTTGACCCTAAAAGCATAAATTTTTGCAATTTCTTTTGAAAGCAATTTGTATAGCTTAAAGACAAATAATTTAGTAAGTCGAAGTGTTATTATGCGCCATAATAGTTACAGAAAAAATGCCAACAAATTTTAATTTTATAATTTCCATGTTATTTGTATGGAGAATAAGTAAATTGTTGTAATTTCCTGTAAAAGGAGTGTATTTTGATTAAATTTGGAAATGCATTTATTTTACACTTAACTATTGACATTTCACAAAAACACTTACTACCCTGCCTCTTGCAGCAAACCTATGTGTACTCATTAAACTAATGCTATTTAAATAGGGAATAATGTATTATTATTGTTGGACTTGACACTATAAGTGACCACCGCGCGGAGTTGGGCTGAACCCTTCGGGGGCCATAAAACTTTTCCTCGGATTAAATTTGACCACTGCGCGGAGTTGGGCAATCCCCATTACGAAGCTATAGCAATATATGTATGGACCGGACAATGGGAACGGGGGTTTATGGGGTAAAAATGGGGTTTTCCCATTTTTGACCCTAAAAACATAACATTTCGGAATATATTTCACAACCATTTTGTAGAAATACAAAAAGAAATAATTTAGTATATTGAAGCATTGTTGTATGCCTAATGGTTACGGGGAAAAAATGCAAATTTAAAATTCCCATGTTATTCTTATGGAGAAGATGAAAACTGTTTTAGTTTTCTTATTTATGGATATAATACTGTATGTTGATAAAATTTGGAAATTTTATTTATTTCATCCTATACTATTGACGTACAGTCAAAAACACTGTTTACCTTCCCCGTAGCAGCAAACCTAAGCACTCGCTTATTTATGGAAATATTTTAGTAAAATGTAATCAGACACAAGTTGAAATTCGCTTCGTCTGCAGCCTCTGCAGGTTTGCTGCGGCGGGGGTATTTTATATTATCAGCAAGTTTGGTTGGTTGTGTTAGGTGATGACCGTTTAATTTTATTATTAAAAATTGTAAAATTAGTCCTATAATAAAAATAATATAATTTTTCTTAAGTCGACGTGAGGGGCTCTCGCGGCTCGCACAACGCCTGACTCCTTCGCAGAAGAGGTTTACATCGGCTTCTGACCAGGCGCCTTAGACACGCTAGTCTCGGCACGCAGTGTCACATTTGATGTTGACCCTACTCGGACAGTTGATATTTCAATATTTTTTTTAAATATTTTAAAAACTCTGACAAATGAAAACTCGGACAGTTGATTTAACCAAATATTATTATTATTTAAACCATACTCGGACAGTTAAAAACTCGGACACTTGATATTTCGATATTTTTTTTAATAATTTAATAAACTCGGACAGTTGATTTATCTAATTAGTATTAGTTATTTATCAAAACACGGAAAAATCAAAACTCGTACAACTGATTTTTCAAATATTTTGTAATTTTTAACAAACTCGGACAGTTGAAAACTCGGAAAAATGATGTGATACCGACATGATATACATGTTAAAACATTATTATGCACCGTATTTGAATTGAGTTGTTTTTCCAATATCACGGTAAAACACGTTTGTGGCGTCCGCAGGCGTACCAACCGGTAGTGATCTATTACAATTCGAAAAAGCACCGACAGGCGTTTGACAAGGTGTGGCATGTCGGACTTCTGTTTAAACTCAAAACCTCTCTCCCTCACTCTTTGTATAACCTTCTGAAATCATATCTGACCAATCGATATTTTCAAATAAAATTCGATAATTCGTTATCTGATCTGAAGCCGATACAGTCTGGAGTACCTCAGGGGAGTGTTCTTGGTCCCTTGCTATATTTGATATATACAGCAGACATCCCTATGGTCCCCAACGTCACGGTTGCTACGTTTGCTGATGACACCGCACTGTTGTCGACTCATGTGGACCCTCAAGTCGCTTACATAAATCTACAAGCTGCCTTGACTGAGCTCCAATATTGGCTTAAAAAGTGGAGGATCAAAGTCAACGAAAACAAGTCCAAACATATTGTTTTTACTCTGAGAACAGGGTACAATCCGATCCAGTAACCATTAATAATGTAGCCTTACTTAACGGAGGCAGACAGTGTAAAATATTTAGGTCTAACTCTTGACAAAAAATTAATTTGGACATCTCATATCTGGTACAAGAGACAGCAAATGGAATTAAAACTTCGTAAACTCAATTGGCTACTAGGTACGAATTCAAAATTATCATTGGCTAACAAAATTTTACTGTATAAAGTTATGATCAAACCATTGGACATACGGAATTCAACTTTGGGGGACCTCGAGCAAATCCAACATTGAAATTCTTGAACGATTTCAGGCTAAGGCACTGAGAAGAATTATTGGCGCACCCTGGTTCGTATCCAACACTACAATTAGGAATGACTTCAAAATTAAATCAGTAAAAGAAGAAATTACAGATCTTAGCAAAAATTATCAAGAAAAAATTAGAATATCATCCGAACAGTCTTGCTGTTAATCTGTTGGACAATAGTCAGTGCATTACCAGATTAAAAAGTGTTGTGCATGTGCTGGACCTAAAGCTACAGATTTCTGTAAATATTTAAATGACTGATCCAATTTTTGGCAAGACTTGATGAACAAGTGCTTGCTTCCTGACGATATATGTTTTACTTATTGTTCTCATATTTGAAAAGATTGTAAAATAAATTCTGATAAAAAAAAAGAAAAAGCACCGAAGAAAAGAGCCACTAACTTCACGACCACTGAGCTATAATTCTAACTGGAGGTAGCACTGAATGTCAAAGATGCGTGTCGCCAGCCGCCATGTTTGCGTGAGGTGTGAGTTATAAGAAGCCATATTATTGCTATGGCTATTATTATACTTGGCTTAAAATACCTACTTTGTATGGTCGCCATTTCAAAGAAAATTATTAAAGTATTAAAAGTATTCAAGTATGACAAAAATACTCACTGCTATACCAACCTAGTTATAAGAAGCCATGTTATTGCTATGGTAAGAAAACTTACTGCTATACCAACCTAACAAAATCAGCGACTCGCTTTTGACAGACTTCTGCCATGGCAGTGCTACCTCCAGTTATAATTTTAGCTCAGTGTTCACGACGGTATAATTCAGATTGCCAACCTTATCAAAACCAACACATTTAGGAAAACATAGTAGGTAGATTACTTGTGTTAGTATATATTATGTTCAACTTGAACATTTATTTAATTTTTTAAATAACAAGCTCGAACAGTTTAATGTATCATGGTTGTGAAGCGATGGTTTGTTCATGTAAAACTAATAATTTACTTATTTTAAGTGAAGATTATTGAACTTATTACTTCGGTTTTGCTATGTTGGCTTTCTGGAAACCCTCTTTTTCCGATTGTTCTTGCTCTAGCAGACTAATAATAATGTACTACTCTAGCAGAAGTGAAAAGCAGAGAAAGCAGAGGATAACTAACTGATGACAGGATGATTATGACGGCCGTATGATTATGATACGAGTGATGTTTTGTACTTTGAGATGGGCGTAGTTAAGTTAAATATAAAATTATTTCAGTGGGTTATGGGAAATTTTTGTACTAAGAAAGAACATTGTTAACAGAAAAACTCATTTTAATGTGTTGCTGTATGCTTAATTGGAATCTTATTAAATCTTACATATTTTCATAATAATAAAACAGGAATGGTGATACATTTTCGGTAACCTAAGTACAGTAATCATTGTCACCACGAAGTTTATATTATTTGATTATGGCTCAGGCATCTGCACCTATTCTGTTGACTATAGAGGAAATTAAACAGCAATATCCCCTCCACTTCTGTGTTTGGAACAACGACTTAGAAGGTTTAAAGGAAAAATTGGATGGCCAAATCGAACAGGTAGGCATAGGCCTAGGTTTATACAAATCTTAGCCTGTAAGGCCCTCCATTTTTATCTAAGTTTTATCCCTTTGCGAAAAGTGATAGCTTGAGAATATTCCGCTCTAAAACAATTTAAAAGGTGTTTAAATAAATCTAAAGGGAAGTTAACAATTTAGCCTAGTTAAGTAATTTGCTCAAAGGATTAACTTAACGTCTGTAGAAGTCTTCTATCATATTAAGCCAATTTAATTCATCATCAGGCACAGTGATTTTTAAAAACCGTAAAACCTATGCAGATGATGATTCTGCGATTAGACGAATAAGCCTTGAAAAAAGACTTTATTTAATATTGGATGTTGCAATAATTATCATAATTACAGAATAAAGAATTAAGTTAAGCTGCAAGTTAAGTAATTTTAACAGATTTGTAGTAGGCCTACCGATATTAAAAAGCATTAACTTAGGCCTAGGTTTTAACCGATTTAAACTTATTAATTAGGCCTACAGTAAGTTTTGTTGTTTAGACTGACTAATAGGCCTACCTTTAAAGCCATCAATACTTTAAAATACCACCGCCGCAGCAAATCTGCAGACTTTGGCCAGGGCCACTCTTGTATAGTTTAACCAGTGAGTTTGGTTTCTCCGTTTTCACGTGTGACGCACGTGGAACAGTTTGACCGTGGCCACACTCGTCTTACGAGATAGGTTTTTCGGGCTAACCAGCAAGACTGATAGAGCATGCCACACTGGCAATAAAAATCGCCCTTGTCCGTGATCCGCACTCCCCCCCTCCATGTTCACTGTACAGTAAATCAGTCAGGTTAAAACTAGAAATGTCCGTGGAAAAAATTCAGCGAGATAACATGAGTGTGTTCACTCCCATATAAGCCACAATGCCGCGCGACTAGTTTTACGTGCAACGCCTGTGGAATGTTAGTAGAGAACGTTACCAGCGAAACTGACAAACGCGTTCACAGACGTTTTTAATCTAGTGTGGCCTGCCCCATAAACTGTAATGTATCTCTCAAACCCACGGATAACGCCCGTGGAAAAAAATTAGCGAGATAAGATAAGTGTGGCCCCGGCCTTAGCGAATTTCCATTTGCCTGACTGGATTTACAATAAAGTATCTTCTTAAAAATATCACGTTGATTCCCTATTTCAAACCAAGGTAGGTAGGCCTACTCATTAAACCTAATGTTATTTAAATAGATTTAATTGAACATCAATTCAGACAAAGGAAATACGCTTAGTCAGCAGGTTTCGCATGTTAACCTTATGAGTACTCATATTTAAATGTAATTTAAGAATCTTAACAGCTGGTTCAACTAATCAATTTGATAATGTGATATTCAATAGTATTAAAAAGTTAATAGGTTCACCAACAGGGTGCAGCACTATTTTTTTATTAAATTTATGACAACAGCTAATTTGCAACCAAAAGGTGAGTGAGCGTAGCGAACAAACTTCAACCTGGAGGCGAGTTAGTGTAGCGAACGAACTAAGCTGTAGGCAAGTGAGCGCAGCAAAAGAGCTCCAACATAAAGGTGAGTGAGCGTAGTGAACAAACTTCAACCAGGACGGGATTGAGACATGTGAACGAGCTCATCTTGAAAATAAACGAGCTTTTGACATAAAACCACATTAGGACAGGACGACGTCTGTCAGGTCAGCTAGTATAGTATATACAGGGTGTCCATAAAAAACATTTCAGGACTTTGGGAAATGGATCCCCATACTAGAAGGAAGAAAAAAGTTTATGGGAAGGTATGTCCGAAATTTTGTTTTTTATACAAAAATATTTTTATCTGTGAAGTTTTTTATTCGATGATTATGAAACTTGGTAAACATGTTACCATACACAAGACCTATTATAGAAAAAATAATAAAGTTGTTCCGATTGTAAATTTCAAAATGGGGGCCGTTTGAATTTTTCTAACTTTATTAACTCGAAAACGGCTAATTCTATGAAAAAATGTCAAGAATACTTTTTTTTAGCATTTTTAATTGCCTATCAAACAATACCAAGATCAAAAAGATCGGACAAAAGATAACTGAAATATTACGTTTTTTCTGTAAAAACAAGGCAAAGTTAGTCGGGGAACCCCTAATTTTTGCCTTATTTTTACAGAAAAAACGTAATATTTCAGTTATCTTCACAGATAAAAATATTTTTGTATAAAAAACAAAATGGCGGATATCTGGGTAAATATGCATTTTTGGACATACCTTCCCATAAACTTTTTTCTTCCTTCTAGTATGGGGATCCATTTCCCAATGTCCTGAAACGTTTTTTATGGACACCCTGTATATATATTAATAGGCAAGCACGTTTCTTTAAAACCTTTTTTCTCAGCTTGTGTACATCACTCAGAAAATCTATGCATATTGTTAGAAAGATATTATCCTGTAGATGTGCAGAATCCCTTTATAAATTAGAATAGATTCAAAACTAAGCAAAAAAATTAATTTGAAATTGAAAAAAAAAACTAGCGTGGGCCGGGAGCGTTTCATAAGTTCCAAATTTCACAAAGTCCAACGTTTAAACTAGGAAACAGAGTGTTTCACAAGGTCCTAATTTCATAAAGTCCAAAACTATAACATTAAAATAATCACCGTTTCACAATGTCCAAATTTCACAAAGCCCAACGTTAACATATCAAATAAACAGAGCGTTTCACAAGGTCCAAATTTCACAAGGTCCAACGGTACAGTCTGGGCCAGAAGTCTCTACAGTGGTTGCCACGGTCAGATAGGAGGCACCGTCCGCCGGCGCTCAACTACTGATTACTGACGTGCATTTTAATGATTGAAGCTGTGTGACTCAACTAGCCTATGTGTTAACACATTAATGTGCAAATCAAATTTACATTTTTATATTTTTAATAGCTTTAATTCAAGCTTTCAGCTGAGTTTCTTAACTGTTCCGTCTCTCAATTAAAAAGCCATTACAAATATTGGAAGAGATCATTTTACCGATAAAAAATTTTAAAGCGTATGAATATGTTTAAAAGTATATTTTCTAATTCGTATTATCATAGATTAACCTTTAATCTATGGTATTATTTAAGTTCAAATCATATAGTTAGTAAATTGTTATATTTCGTGTTTTGTTAAGTGTTTTTAATAAAGTGTTACAACGGAATTTATTGAAACCGTGAGTGTGAGGGGAAAGCCAAGTTTGCATTATAATGGATGTTCTTATCGGATATATCAGGAAAACAAACTTTTGGAGGATAAAAAACTGTTGTGGTTTGTTTGCTTATGAATATACTTTGATCAAATTTGGAAATGCTTTTATTTTATACTAAACTATTACCATAAAAAAAATTAACCATCCCTGTTGCAGCAAACTTAAGTACGGTACTTGTTAAACTAATGCTATTTAAATAGGGAATAAATGTGATCATTTTAAGGAGAAATTCTAGTGTAAATCAAATAAGGGAAATGGACATTCGATTAGTCTGCAGGTTTGCTGCAGAGGGGGTAAATACCACTGCTTTACACTCTTTACAATGTATCTACGGACCCACAATGATGTTTTGTGACGTGCGGCAACAACACTAGATCGTGTAGTGCCTACATACCGAACCACGGCAACCTCTGCAGCGACTTCTGGCCGCGACTGTACCGTTGGACCTTGTGAAACGCTCTGTTTATTTGATATTTTAACATTGGACTTTGTGAAATTTGGACATTGTGAAACGGTGATTATTTGAATGTCATAGTTTTGGACTTTATGAAATTAGGACCTTGTGAAACGCTCTGTTTATTAATATTTTAACCGTTGGACCTTGTGAAATTTGGACTTTATGGACCTCACCCCCCGGGCCTTATGAGTTGCCATGTTGGTGACAAAATATAAACAAAAAATCAAAACGAATGAAAGAAATTTCAAACACATGTTTTATTTACAGCGCAGGGTGAAAATAGAGAAGTTTGCACAATACATACTTTTGGTTGAGTTTTCGACCACGGGGCGAGCTCTTGTATACATTTAAACTGAACTGACAGATGTACCGGTAACTTTTTTGAGGAAGGCGAGTGGCTCGTCAAACAGTTCTTTTATAGAATACAAGTGAGCTTGCTGAATGGCTCTGGCGAAGGGCAGGATTGCATATCTAGATCCAACATTATTGCCAAATTTATGTACCTAACAAGTTTCGAAGAGGTTTTTTGGTCTTAATACCAAACAAAGTCAAGCATTTATACTTAATAACATTGTGCCTCAAAAGAATAATATGGGGGAGAAACTTCTAAATTTCAGAACCTTAAAACACATTCTAATGCCCTCCCTGTAGCAGCAAACCTAAGTAGGTAGGTACATATTATATATAATCTTATTTAAATATGGAATAAATCTTGACATTTTTAAGGAAGTATTTGAGTATGAAATATTTGAGGCAGGGGTATTTTCATTTACCTGTGGTCACAGAAAACATACTAGCCTACTATAACCCAGAATGCCAACCGCATGGTAAAAAGTGTTAAGTACTTTGAGAGAGCTTTGCCTGTCAATTCGTAGGCAGCGCCTACGAGTGTTTTTGGTCTCTGGGACATCAAAATGAAAAAGTAAATCGTTCCCGTGCTCAAGTCTTACCATGAGACCTACGGTCATAGCTACTTCCCTATATAGTGAAATTTGCTAAAAGAATTAATGGTGTTTTGTGTGTGTGTGTGTTTTAAATCTACAATAGTCCAAACCAAGGAATAGGAATGAGGAGAAAAACATTACAACCAGAAAAAAAAATGATTTCGTGATAAAAAGATCAATATCTTTCTTATTATTTCTAGTCCTACTTTTTAAAACTTAATATTTATTTTATCATTGTAATGAGATTAAAATTACATAAACACTTTAGGTGTAATAAGTTTCTACTAGATAGCCTGTTGCTCAAAATCGAGCAAAACTGCAACTTTAATTAATAATAAACAACTGTAATAAAATAATGAAGAACAAAAAACATAAACAGCAAAACCTCAATCATAGAGTCACTCTAAAGTAATTTCTATGACTG